GAAGTATGTTAATTTAGTAAAATATCTCGGTAATTATTAGATTTCATTACTCTTATGTCACGTCTTCATCAGGAGGAAAAACAAATTGTTCGTAGATGATGTCATTAGATTTTTTCCATGCCTCACTAGTTTATTTTATGTTGCCGCACCAGCTAGAAAATCATCCAAGTCGGAGGGTTTTACCTTTTAGTATGAGCACTTTTGGCATAAATGTGAAGCACACACTTGATTGTTGTTCCTTTTTTGTGGTTTAATGTTTTACCTGCTAGTAATACTTGAACTAAGCCCTTCTTTGAAACCTCTTTCTCAAGGCTACCATGAAACTTGCTAGTCAATATCCAAAAGGAATGAGACACCAATCAAGCATATGGGTTCCCCCAATATACCGAAGACTCTTAAGTGCTGACAAGCCGGAAAGGGATATGTCTGAAAGATGCCTCATTAAGGTGTCATCAGTTATTTTACCTCCTCAATCTCCTCTTTCTAAGGTAATTGAATAATGACTCCTATAATGATTTGGAGTTATGTTTCTAACTGCTGACATTAGTTTCCTCATTGCGAACTATAGTAACCAGATTGTGTCTTTATAACTGTAAGTCAGGTATCACAGACTTAGTTGCCACTAAGCACTTGGCTGTTAACTGTTGAAAATGTTTTGGATCGAGTCTGTTACTGAATACAAATATGCTCTGGGAGCTTCATAGAAAAACAAAAGTCAACATATGCTTTTCTGTGTAGCACTGAAATGGCCTGCAGTTTTATTTAGTTTGATATGATCATAGAAATCATTTAAGAAAGCAGACTGAAAGTTACAACAGATTAACCAAGGCCAGTTTATATCTGGCACAGTACAATAATGCTTCTCAGTTACATTAATGTTTATGCTAGATTTGAAATGTTGTATCTTCATATCGTTGAATGATTTAGTCATCTCCTACTACTTTCCCCGTTGCAATGATCCTTGTGTTATTACAACAGTTGTTTACCAACCTCTTATTGTACCGTTTTACTTGCTAGTGTAATAGAAAATTCCAATTTCAAATCCTTTATGTATTGTGCAGGAAGTAGCTTTTGACCTTGAGCAAAAGCTACTCTGTTCTATGCTTGATATGCTCAATGACCCTTCAAAGAAAATTCAAGCAGTAAAGTCATGGGGATGGTTCATATCCTTACTTGGCGCAAGTGCAGCGAGCACTAGACCTCTACTTAACAAAATGCTTAAAGTCCCTGAGCAATTATTTACTGATCCTGATCCTCAAGTTCAGATAACCACAATCGTCAGTTAAACCATTTCCTTAAGTACAGTTGTTTTCTTTTAAAACAAATATATTCCAGTATAAAATGATGATATTTTCAGAATCGCAGGTTACCTGGAGAAATTTGGTGGATGCATTTTTTGGGCCACAAGCTTTAGAAAATATGGATCAGGGGACAGTGATGTCTCCTATTGAACCCAGAGCACAAGCTAGTGCTCAGATGAAAAAGATAAGGCTAATTATGATGCCTTTATGTGGAGTTCTGTCAAGAAGTCATAATATTGCTTTAAGTTCCTCCTGCTTGAGCACATGGCATTACCTTTTATATAAACTTGGTGATTTGATTAACCATTTATCCATTCTGGAGGCTGCTTTTGGGCCAGTACTCAAGATAATTTTCTCCATTGGACTTGCTAATCAGAACAAGCCACTGTGGTCATTTTGCATCAATCTGTTTCATGACTTTATTTCAGTAAGAGTTAGGCATTTGATCTCACATGATGAGAATGTGTGTGTTCCACTGAATCAGAACTTGCTATCCCAAACTTGTACGCATCTCAAGGCCTTGTTTGATGTTTCTCAGATCAAATGGTTACCATGGGATGTTACTAGCTTTGATTTTCAGTTGGAGATCCTTGGCTCAATTGTGAATCCAGAACTACTTCATAACATGACTGCTGACATGGTCGTAACTATTATGGACTCCACAACACAAACTTTCAGGTTGCTTCTACAGGGAGTTCGAGTTCAGTGTAACTCAAAGTTTGCTGATGACAATGTCATGATATGCATTACTAAGGTATGCAAGTTTGTAAAGAAGGTGTTTCTGGATATGGTAGGGAAGCAAAAGAGTAACAGTTCCGCAGTGTTGGTACAGTTTTGTCTTCAGTTTGTGAGGTGTACTGTAGAGGAACTGGATAATTCTCTGTTGGCTTCTGGAAAGTACGAGTTATGCTTAGACATCGAACAAATAAAGGAGATTGAATATGCAGAATGCAGTCCGAAGTTATCTCATCCAAGAATCAGGCCACTTGCTTACCTGAGTTGGTTTCTCCAGCAGTTTACTTGACTGCATTATCTCTGTCAATCGTAGCTCAGTTTACTGGAGAATTATCACCTGGAGATGCCGAGCAATTGGCTTCAATTATCTGTCCACCTGATCTACCGGAGAACTTTCATGCTGTCGTTGCTTTTTTGTATATGCAGATCATGCGTCCAGTAGATAGTCGGCTAAGAATAAAATGGTTGGTGGTGTGGAACAAAGTGTCAAAGCGCTTGAATGAGCAAATGATCTCTTACTTAAAGGTTGGCTGTGGTGCAAGTGGCCATGATGTACTCTGTCAGTTCTTCTGTTACCCATTTTTTGCTCTCGTATCCCCTGGGAGTATATCTGCTCATTGGAATGCTGAAATTAGTTCCGAGGGTTACCTTAACATGACACAAGACTTAGAGGTGGAGCTGGTTATTGAGGTTTATCTATCCTTTTGTACAAACTCCAGTTATTGTTCAGAGCCTGCTTACATGGTTTTCCTAGAGCACTTTTTTGAATATTTGATCCACATAGTTGATAAAAACATGTCCTCAATCCAAGCCAATCTCAAGTATTGCTTAGAGAATAAGTCTAAAAACATTACTATCCTATCTGTTCTTGGCAACGTAGTTATTGGACTACTAGAGAATGCCCAAATTTTTAATTATGCTAACAAAGAGAGAGAAATAACGACAAATGAAGATCCTGCTGGATGCAGCGGACCTAACCTTTTCTTGGGTAGCTTGAAGCTTGCTAACAGGTGCGTTGAATCACACTTCTAGATGAAACACATCTAGTTATTCTGCCTACCTTAAAAAGATGCCAAGCTCAGTAATCTCTAATCACTATGTAATATATATGCAGGTTTATGAAGCTATCTGGTCTTGCTTTCAAAGAAAATCCAGCTGCACAATACCAAGTCACAAGCAGGTAAGTAACCAGATTCACAATATTGTAGATTAATTTCAATAGCAGCAAGCTGGACTTAGTCTATTACTCTATTTACATCTGTGCCTTCCGTTATGCTTCAGGTATTTCTCATCTTTATCTGATTTTGTTGGACATCTTACATCGACGAAAGACATTCTTCTACTCTTTGAGGTTTGTGCCATCTCCCCAGTCTCGAAGGGCATCATCTTCATATGTGTTGAACTAATACAAGCATATACTTTGTGTGAATGCTAACTGCATGATAAACATCACATCATCCGTGCAGATAATTGGGGATCAATTTACTGAATGGCTCACCTTATCTAGCACATCGTACGGCATAATACGTCAAGGAGAAACCATTGACCAGCTTGAGAAACTCTGGCTCAACACTGTCACATGCCTGACGACGAGCCGGCTCATCAGTGACTGCCCCTTCCTTGAGAAGCATCATCTGCTTCTCCAAGCGGCGATTAATCACCCACATGGCCCCATTTCAGCTGCAACCACGGCAATGCGGAGATCGCCAGGATCCAGCAACGCAGGCCTGCGACACGCTGGACGTCGGTCAGTTTCCAAGGCAGATGAGCTGTCTCTAGACAGGTCAGGGAAGGATCCTAACTGCGCCAGCGACGCCGAGAGGGCCTTCGCGCTCGAGGAATTCAACATTTCAAGGATGTCCGTGGCGCCTGTGGTGTCAGGTAGAGGGACTGTCAGGTCAAGCACGACTGACCGCGGCCAGAGTAATGGTGAATCGCTCAGGGTCTCCGCTGGTTTGGGGAGGAAGAGGCTGAAGATTATGAGGTACTCAGGTAACGGGAAGGAGCTTGGCAAAGTTACCGACGCCTCCTTCTCGCCGGGGTGGGCGGAAGGTGAAGTTTGCAGGAAACCAGAACTGATATTGGAAATGCTCAAGAGGAAGAGATAGTAGCTTCAACCCATCGCCATGTATGTATGCCATGGTTGTGTACTTGTATATGTATCAACGTGAAGCCTACGCCTGACCTCCATTAGGAAAATAGTGTACGCCTAACAAGAAGTGATGCCAAGAGATCACTGCGCTTTACGCCATCATCCAGCTAGCAGGGCGAGGAGCGATGCCGTCTCCAACCTGCTTCGCATTGTCCGCTCTCCATTCGTCAGCATCATCAGCACCAGCCAGGGTTGAAAAACATCATGCTCACGTATAGATTCAAATTCAGCATCATTTTCCAGCGACTTCACATTTTTCGCATGCTTCACTTCTTATTATTGCTGAGTTTGTTTTTCTCGTAGCTCCCTGAGCGAGATTGATTTGAAACTGAAATTTTACATGTTTGCAGAACATCAAACTGTCCAACACACTATTTTCTTCCAGAATTTTTGAGAGATCATTTCGACGAGATAGTTCCTCTTGACTTGTGAGCAGTTATTAGTTGCTACTTGCAATTGATACTGAAAAAGCTAAGTGTTTGGAGCTAGGAGTTATCTAAGCATTTCAGAACTGATACACATCAGATGTGTAGGAGTTATCTAAGCATTTCAGAACCGGTACTCATCAGATGTGCGCAATACGACCATGAAACATTTCATAATAACTATAATAATATCATGAAGCATCATCCAGTTACAGAAAACATAACTTGACCACATCCAGGGTCCATACATCATATAACGGCACTGAAAAGTTCAACAAGTACGAGCAGAAAGCTAAGCATTTGGTAATAATAGTAGGAACGAAAAGCTAGGAAATTAAGCTGGCTGGCATCTGGAAATAGGAAGCTGGTGTTGAATGTGCGAGCACTCTAGTTTGATGGGCTTGCTGGACCACTAGAGGATCCACTCGCAGAACCACTCGATTCAGTAGCACCTGGAGTTCCACTGGCCACATCCTGTTTCATCTCCTCTTTTTCATCAGCTGCAAACCTTCCAATGACCACCTGCGCATCAGCACAACAAAATGCAAACCATTAAGAGAAAGCACAAGGTTCTCAATTGCAATATATGTATGTTTTCGTGAAACGATGCTATTTCCCAAACAAGCTATTTACCATAAAAAGAAGCACATCATTGATTTTCAGTAGGAATATTAATACATGTACAATGTAACTCATTTGGCAGCACACATTTTGTTTTCGAAACATAGGAAGCACATATAGACTTAATAAATACTTGAACAAACGAAGCAAGATACAATGGAAGCTATTGGTATATATGGAACAAAGATCTTAGTTGGTCTTTTGGTAATCTGCTATTGGTATATATGGAGCAAGATACAAGGTGAAAGATGGCAACCTGAACAGGTGATGCTGCAATCAGAGGTCCTGCTAACCCACCGCCGAAGATGCGGCCATCAGCACCGACAAGCGAAATAGCGAACCCACCTTTTAGAGAGCTCACTCCATCAGTTTTTGACGGCAGATACGAGCCGGTCATAGAGACAATGTCAAAACAACCCTGCATATTACATGCTAAGGATTAGACAGTGTTTAGAGCTGGTAACAAATCTAGAGGCCAAACAACGATATTTCATTTTTAGAAGACCAGAACTACAAAACGCTATGTTTCCCTTGCGATATTCTCTATGCTGGTAAAGGAAGCAATTAGACAATCTCACTACTACCTCACATTTCATTTTGCTTTTATAATTCTCTTGATTTGGTTGGAGCTGAACTTTTATTTTGAAAATATACCAGAAAAAACGGGATTTCTAGCGTATAGATTCCAAGCTAAAACAATAGAGCAAACCTCATGAATAACTGTTTCAAGCGGAGAAGCTGGTTGATGCAGTGTCACATTGGACACGGCGCCCTCGGCAGACATGATAAAAACTGCCCAACCATTCCCACCATACGACTTGACTTCCATTGCTACATCCTGAAACCATGGGTTCCTTATTAGTAGAATTTTACAATACATGCATAATATGGGGTGGAATAGAGAACTTATGAAAATGATGCGAAAGACAATGAAAAACTGGAAAAGAGAGGGACAACACCAAGCTCTCTTCAACATATTGTAGGATGGATATAGACATAACCGGTTGAAAAAATGTGCTGAACAATAAATCAAGAAAGAGCCAAATGTTATCTCCAAATTTTACACCAAATAAGCATTGCTATCCCGATATTTTTTCTCCGCTTCTAGTCTGAGTCCGATCCGGATCCGGTCGTTATCCACTTCGAATCCAATAAAATAAATATGGTAAAGGATATGTGGAAATCATTACTAATCCGATCCGATCCTTTACATCCCATCTGCCCAGAGCCAAAAAGTCTCTCCCGCTTTAAAAAATATATCAAGTGCAAGTCATTTCAATATACATATGTACAACGCACATATCGTTAAGTAGAGGCAACTTTGGTCAATTTTTTCTAATATTTAACAATAAATACATCCACAAAATAAACTTTATTTTTTCTAAAAGGAACCACTTCAATTGGATATTCTAATATCTAGTATCCAGATACTATGACGAAATATTAATAGAGCACTGAATGTCTCTAGGAGCATTACAAGAGTAGGAAAATTTACCTGTCCACCTTGAACTATGATGATCCGAGGAACTATTTCAGTCCCACACGGCTCTGCCAGATAAAAAATCCATTTCAAATTAGTTTTTTTGGGAAATATATTGTAATTAATGCTAGCGAACTGATGATAGCACTCATGTGCATGCGCCTATAAACAGTACTACATGATCTGAAATAAACTAACATCCTAGAAATACAATTTCAAAGCTTCAGGAAATACGCCGGGTGACTCATAGCTCGTGCAGCGCCGTTGGGAGCCGCAAGACACGACGAACATGTTGCAGGAGTAGGAAGAGCTACCTTGTTCAGCATTGACCAGGCGGGCGCCGACGATGGGCTGTGGCTGTGGATGAAGTGGACTCTTGGGCATTCCAGCGCCATAGGCCGCCTTGCCCGCACCCGCCGGGATGGCTCCTCCTTCCATTGCCTTCACGAGCAAAAACAACACACACACTGACACAAACAAAAGAAACCGTCACTTGTTTTACTGGTAACTCGATACCTGAAAATGCACAAACCCAGGGCTTTTTATAGGGCAGTGGGTGGGATGCGATTTTGACGTGGGTATTCTTTGGGGTGCCTTTAGATTCATTAATTACTTGCTTCCTTTTGGTTCTCAGAGAAAGTTTTTTTTGGAAATTTCTTGATTGGTCACTATGGATGTGTTCAGAACTTCAGATGATGAGCTAGGTTATTTTCTTCCTATTTCATGGACTTTCAAACGCAAACATGACAGAACTATAAATGAAAAATCTAAAGTTGGCAAAACAATTAATGAAACTCCAAAGATAACACAACAGTGTAAATGAAATCCCAAAGATGGAAAACAATAAATGAAAATCCAAAGATAACCCTATCTTTGGATTCTCATTCATTGTTTGCCATATTTAGATTTTCATTTATTACTTGGTATCTTTGGATTTGGATTTATTGCTATGCCATTTTTTGAATTTCATTTATATGTTGCGTGATATTTGGACCTTTCATTTATTATTATGCCAAATTTAGATTTTCATTTATTATTATGCCATTTTTGGATTTTTAATTGTTGTTATGGACTTTGGATTTTTATGGGCATTCCTCCGCTCGAGTCCACCTATTGCTATCTTTTCAAGTGGGCCATGTTTGGATTTACAATGCATGAATGATATGTTAGAGGGGGCAGTTACCGTGCACTCTCAAGCCGACTTTATACATGAGATGGTTTAGGTTCGGAAGGATCGTAATTTTTCGTAGTAATCGTGCATCTTCATTACCAACTAACAAGTGCACACAAAAACACACTAGAGACTACTAGAGACCGAGAGAAGGCATGCAAATTGGATTTTTTGTCTAGGAAAGCCCCCAAAAAATAGAAAAGTAATATTAGGTGCTTTAGAGGTAGTCACACACACCACAACCATCGGCTGCCACCAACCTCATTCACCATTGAGGTGCTCATTGGAAGAGATTCCAAGCCTCCATTGTCGAAACTAAGGAAGTGCCATCGCTAGAGAGGATTTGAAAGGCGAAGATACACACTTGCAAGTAGTCAGGCAGATTGAATTGTAGAACAATCCCGCATTGACTTGGGCTTAGATCTGTCTATATATCGTTCCAATGACATTATGAAAGAACGCTAGATCCGCCAACTTTGAACGACTGTCGCTCCAAAGCCACTATTGATTTCCTATCGGTTGCTTGCCTCCGAGAGGCAACAACTACCATCAACAAATTAAAAAACAAATCTCGCTACCTAGCGGAATAATGAGCCCACGAGGCCACCAGATCTTTGAAGTCACCATGGCAAGGAAGAACCGGGGCAAGATTATTAAACACTAGAGAAGCAGGTTTCCCCCACCCATCGTGGGAGCGGTGGACATGCGAGGGGGGGGACTCAGGTTTTCAGCCGAATTTTCTAGATAGAAGGGGAGAGAGTGAATAAAGACCCAAAAACATAAGAATTGTATCAAGTAGGTGTTCTAATGCCAGAAAAAAAATTACTCCACCGGCCTATTCCCCTTATGCTTCATCAATGACTTTACTCTTCAATACCTCCATAGCAGGTCGTTGCAATATTCCACAATACAAATAAAGATATGCAAAAGAGTAAGGATATCACCAAGTTTATAGTGTTGCCGAAGAGATTGGAGGTGACACCCTTCCTTAATTCCGTAATATGATCATCGGTGAGCTGATCCGCCATGAGATTAGAAATCTTGGAATCAAATATCTAAACATCAATGAGTCGATCCACCATATGCTTACCCGCCTTAAACTCAACAATTTGATTGCAGAGACAAATTTTATGTGGTTGTACACCTTGTGCTCGCAACCATTGTGACGGGGCGGATCTACGTTGTACTGACATAATTAAACTAGGAGAGTTGATTCTTTTAAGATGCAAGGAAGAAGTGACTTCAAACTTAGATGGGATGGTGTCAGAGTCGAGATTGAAAGTGGAGAACAGGAGGTTTGGGGGGAGACATTAGGGGCTGCGGCGGCGGCGGCGGGAGGGGGGGGGAGTTTTGAGGGAACACTTAGGGTTGAGGGGAGCGGTGAGTCTTTTATAATACTCGGTATGCGGTGGCCCCACCTAGAAGAAGGCAATGAAGAATTATTTTTATGTGTCGTATGTCGGCTACATTGTCAAGAAAACAGTATGACATGGCAGTAAGGTGGAATATGACATGAGTTCTTCTTTCGATTTTTCGACGGGTAGTCTGGTCCAACTTGCCTCATATGCATGATAAGCTTTACGATCCTAAGGAACATATGACCCAACCATTAGAAGTGGACGATGATGGTGGGGATTGCAGACTAGGAGGGGAGTATAAGCTAATAATTGCGGGATGGGCGATCTAGTGACACCAGTTCACACTATTTTTCTTTGAATGGGAATGGTTGGAGTGTTATATTTTGTTAAGATATATGTGATATGGTAAGCTTTTCATTTCATAGACACCAAGAGTTTACCATTTCAAATGGGACAATCAACCTTCTTTGAAAGACTCCGGAATCAATCTATTAAACTCATTTGAGAGCTAAATCAAACATGTAGAGTTGTTATAAGTTGTTGAGAAAATGCAACATACCAAAAACTTCCAAAATTTGGAATGTTATGAATTATTAATAAGTTAATTTTCTCTAGGTTTTAGAACATTTTAGAGGACTTGCTGAAACTTTCTGAGTAGATGAACGTGGCTCTCTTATATATCCTTGATGAGAGGTTTACAACCAAGTTCCAACTTTGGTTTTGAGACACTAAAATTGAAAGTGCTAGTTATCGACTAGAGGGGGGGGGGGGTGAATAGGCGATTTTCGTGAAAGTCTTCAAAACAAGCAAAGTTTTTGAAGACAGACAGTGAAATAACACCTAAACATGATGCAGTGGAAGATAAACTACACTAGCCATGCCATAATCAAATAAACAGTATAGAGAGAAGCACGAAGACAAATAGTAGCTAGGTAGAACAAATCAGAATGGGAAGACAATATGAATCCAAATACACAATCAAAGTAGAATGTATTCACACAGTGAATTCAATGAAAGTAGGCAAGCAATGACTTCACAAAGCTAAACAGTAAGTAAAGGGTGAAGTGATAGAACCAATAGCTTGACGAAGATAAGGATTTGGTAGACCAGTTCTAGTTGCTGTGACAACTGTACGTCTGGTTAGGGAGGTTGAGTTTGAACTCAGAAGACCACGTCTTCACCTCATTCCCCTTGAGTTAAGGTCACTTAGTCCTTGCCCAATCACTCAGGTAAGTCTTCAAGGTAGACTTCCAAACCTTCACAGACTTCGTTCACCGGCAATCCATAATGACTCTTGGATTGTCGTCGGAAACCACGGCCACCTATGCAGCCATGAGCCCCTTTTGGTTTGGTAGGGGGAATGAGCACGTTGCACAAAGAGTAGAGAACGTCGGGCAACATGACAGAGA